CTTAAAACATTTAGTGTTCATGGAGTATTTTCTCCAGAACAAAGACTGTTCTGAAGGAGAACATCAAATGCTAAAAAACTGCATGATTTAAATTCGTTTCTTCTAAAGGAAAAGCATTTCCTCCTTATTGAAAGTTTATGAATTATTATGCATTCCTTTCTGTATCAGCTCTTTGCTATTCCAAGAACTATACTGAGTAACCAAAAATCAGAAAAAGAAAACAGCCAGTTATAGGACAAAACTCCCTGAAAGAAAAAAAAAGATTATGCAAAGTAACAACTAACAACTGTCTTCTGCCAGGTCTGTTTTTTAAATTAAACTTTGTTTTCTTCTCTAGAGCTGTGACCAGACTTTTATTGCTAAACTGAGGTGTTTCATATAAGATTTGAATAATACAGTAGCATCCATTAGACTCAAAAGGGTACATTACCCTATGTACAAACACCATGATTGGTGTTTGAATGCTTGCCTATGTAGTCAGGGCCCCCCAGACAATAGCACCTTGCACTGTGTGCACTATGTGTAGGTGATGCCATGTTGAAAGAAGATGTACATGCCATTCATTGCTGTTTGTTGTCATTCCTTCTTCAGGATGATTCACAGGACTTAGAATGAGGCAAAACTATGTTTTGTGTAACTGTATGTCACTACGCAAATTCACTGGCTCACCCTCTAGGTTGCAGTCAGCATAGTAGGAAAATGCTGTTTACCAGCTTAATTATTAGGGCTTGCTTGTGAAAGGCAGGTCTACTTGAGCTTTGTCCAAGGGTGCAAATTTGGCTTTAAATGTACTTCATTTATTTAATAAAAACTTCTGTTGGATAATTCCGACCCTGATTTTATGGCTGTGTGAACACATTTCTGTTACTTTCAACTTAATAGCTTTTCTAAATAGTTTTTCTAAAACTCTTTCATCCCTGATCATTTTGAACTTCCATGATTTCATCTGTGGGGATAAGATTTGGTAGAACTGTGCTTTGAAATTGGTCTGTAAATCTGCCATGCAGTTCACCTAATTGCCCCTTCAGTGCAGAGTGCAGCTTCATATTATATACCAGTCAGATGCTAAAAATGACAGTCCTGTTTTCCTTGTCTCTGTCCCATATATTTCCACTCCATCCCTTACATAAAATCTAGGCTAAGAGGTGACAATTCAATTCACTGGCCTGACAGTATTTTAGTTGTTATTTTGCACTATCTTTGTTTTTTGTCTTGCTTTGGATGAGCCATATTTGTGCTAAAGTGGTAAGCTGGTCCAACTCACACTACAGCCAACAAGTTAGTAGGCTGAATGTAGGCAAAACGAAGAGCAGATTACTTATGAAACAAAACAACAATCCAAATGACTGTTCTTTACTCTTGATATTAGCTATGTCTGGGCCAAAGTCCACTGTTCCATGCTGCTTGAGCCAGCTGCATCTACATTGCCTGAAGCAGCAAGCTTTGAGCTGCATTGGGTTTGATCTCTGAATCTTCCCCTCCTGTTCCTCTAGACAAGCCAGTGTAGGGGTGATAAGAGATTTTTGCATTTAAGTAAAATAATGCAAAAGTATAAATTTAATATAATTTGAAGACAATTAACTGCCTGAAGGGCCTTTTAATTATTTTATTGTTAGACTTTTTCCCTAGATTGAAATACAATTGGTGTCAATAGAATCATGTGAAGTCTCTGGGATATGTAGAATCATAGAATCATAGAATAGTTAGGGTTGGAAAGGACCTTAAGATCATCAAGTACCAACCCCCCTGCCATGGGCAGGGACACCTCGCTCTAAACCATATCAGCCAAGGCCTCGTCCAACTTGGCCTTGAACACTGCCAGGGATGGAGCATTCACAACCTCCTTGGGCAACCCATTCCAGTGCCTCACCACCCTCACTGTAAATAACTTCCTCCTTATATCCAATCTAAACCTCCCCTGTTTAAGTTTTAACCCATTACCCCTTGTCCTATCACTACAGTCCCTAATGAAGAGTCCATCCCCAGCATCCCTATAGGCCCCCTTCAGATACTGGAAGGCTGCTATGAGGTCTCCACGCAGCTTTCTCTTCTCCAGGCTGAACAGCCCCAACTTTCTCAGCCTATCTTTCCCTATGTACCTTCATCAGGTAAATTTACAGGTATATTGGAATATAAAGACAGTGACAGCCTAATTTATGGGGGGGGGGGCATTAGAATCTAATAAAAAGTGCAATAACAAAAACTGTTGATATGATTAATAGAAACTTCGTGTTTATGCAGAGAATAAGAATTTATATTTAATTAGGTAACTGGAAATATGCACAACTTTTACTATCACTAGAAAAATACTTGATGGAAGTCAGTGAGGGTAGTTGGTTGTGATTGTCATTTGTCTGAGTTTGCCAAAAGAGAGAGTTCACTAGAACTAAAAGACAGCAAGTATTTTAAAAGAAAAGAGCATATCACTGTGCAGTTGCTTCTTTATCATTCATAGCATGGGATGCATATTAGTCATCACAAATGCTGTGCTGGGGGAGTAGATGCTTCAAAAGCTTTCTTCCTCTTCTGGAAACATCTTGGATGGAGAGCATAAAAGGAAACCCCTAGAGAAGAATAAACCATCATGTTTATACGAACATCCTATTGACTGACTAATTGGAAGGATACTAAAAAATTCCCAGGAGAAACGATCTAGAGCTCTATGTTTTTTACTGACAATACTTCTTTTTTTGTAATGACAGAGAAATGCATTCAAATTGAAAATACTCTGTATCAAACTTCTTAATATGACCATGGATTCAAAATGAACCAGTGACAGGGAAGAAAATGATAAAATTTAGCATGTGTGAGAGAAAAAAATTCCTGTACTGATGTTGTGGCCCTGAGTTCAAAGTTGCTTGAATACTTAAATTTCTGAGTTTATTTCAATAGGAAAAGAATCAAATACTGTATATGATGAACAAAATGATAATTCTGAAGAAAATTAATGTCTTCTTTACAATGCTCTATCCAAAGGATTGGGCTCTGCTCTGCATTTCATTTTCATGTCACCTTCTATTACAAGAAAAGTACTGCAAATGCAATGAAAGCAATGTCACTAAGGAAGAGCCCTCAAGCAGAAACTGAGGGGGTTTTGTCGTTGCAGTATAAAACATGGGAAAATACATGAGTCTTTCAGGGAAGGAATAGGGAACAAGCAGAGAGCAGGTTGGTGTATCCAGCATTTTAGATTTCCAGAGGATTTCTGCACCAACCATTGCCCATTTTTCATTCAGTTTCTGATCTCTTGCCCCTTCTGTCTCCCCTCTCTCTCTCTGTCAAATTTCTTTCTTTCCAATGGAGACCACTTCAAGGAAATTTCAAGATCATCTTCAGGAATGTACTGTGTCAATTGCCAGCTATTTAGAGCTATCCTACAAAAAGTACTACTTAGCCTTTGTTATAAAAAGTTTATCCGATTATAGCAATATCTGCAGAAAAAAAGCCCTGTAATTGTTACTAACTGGAATGTGATACAGATGAACCATATCAGTTTATTTGCATGTCCAGAAAATTATTCACACCCTTTTTAGGAAATTATTCATACCCTTTTTTTAAACTGCAGTTTTGGTAAAAATTAACAGTTATGAACTTGAAATAGATACAATTCTGTCCCATACTTTTCTTCATTTCAGAGCCGTCTTTGCAAGACAAGTTACAAGCTTGTTTTCAGTATCTTTACAGTGATTATTTCTTACACACATATTATGAACTCCCAAGCCTGAAAAGCACATTTCAGTTTATAAATTCAGTATGCTGTACCTGTCCGCTAGTAAATAAATATAAAAGAATATTCAATTCAACAATACCACATATCCTTTGTAATCTTCCCAGGGAGGACATATGCAATATGAAAGATTTATATGGATTGGTTTCACACAGTATCATGCTTTTCTTGGCATTACACTTTTTGATAGCTTGGGTATGCAACATCAGTATAGCCTAAAGTTTGTTTTCATCTGGAGCTCTTCTACAGCTCTGTCTATCATATAAACAAGGAATTAGCATGGCTATTTTCAAACAAAATATGCTTACTCTGAAGGTCTTTCTAGCTCTGACTGTGATTGAACAGCATTCTTCTATAAGTCCCTGTGTTATTTCACTTCATCCTAGCATTTCATTTCCTTTGTCATGATTTGCATGGTGCGGAATGAGAGGGGAAAAGCCAAGTAAGCTGTCCTTTCTCAGTGTCAGGCCTGCTTGCTTCCTGCTTCCCAGCACACATCCAGAACCTAAACCATGGTTCGAACAGGTGTCAGCAGCCATATGGCAAGAGACAGACAAGTCTGACCTGAAGTCTGTGGTCAGACTTATTTATTACAGTGACGGTGTGCTACATTTTTAGCAGGAACAGTTTTTCAGAGTTCATCTGTTCTGTCAAACCAGAGCATTGCTGATTTTTGGACAGAGCCCTAGACACCTATAGACTTCATTGCTTAGGCACCAGAGTGTGCTGGAGTGCACCTCAGGCCCCCTTTCTAAGAACCTGTGCAGGCAGAGGTGCTGCACATCACACACAGTTGCATCCCAGTGCTGCCTACAAACAGGACATCGTAACAGCGGGTGCAGCTCACTTGCAAGTCTGCCAAATCTTGATAGAATCAAAGAATAGAATCATAGAATAGTTAGGGTTGGGAAGGACCTTGAGGTCATCTAGTTCCAGCCCCCATAGCTCCTTAGATCCCACCATGCCCTCACACCTGGTACTCATTCACCATCCTCAAGTATACACATTGTAAAAAGCCATTCGGTCCCACCTTTTTGGCTACGCAGAAGCAGCAAATCACCAAGGAGCAACTGGAGCTCAGAATAGTCTCAGGCACTCATCAGTACAAATAGAGATGAGGATTCATCTCTGCTTTAGCAAGGAGGTTTCCTGACAGGACTCTGTTCTGAGCATGGCAGAGCTGCTCTGCTTACAAAGATGGCTCTTTACAAAGCTAGGGAGAGTTATGATTTAAGCTCGAAGAAGAGAGATGTGTCTCCAGAATCCAAAAGACTCAGCTGTAGCTGCTTTCTCCTCCTCTCACCTTCATAAGGAGCCCAAACCATGGCATTTGGACCAGCTAAACATCTGAAAAGGAGCTGAGTTGTGGTGAGTACGTTTAGCGTTTTGGGAGTGGGGAGCAAGGTTTTGTGACTCTCTGCTTAGATTTGAGTAATTTGATAATGATGGGCAAGTTCTAGCCAGACAAAGGCAAAGGTAGGACATACCACCCTTGAGGAGAAAGGGAGCCTTTCAAAAAACCTCACCCCTTCCCTATCCATCTGCTCCCCATTTCTCCTGGACAAAGGGGACTTTTGGACTACTCATGGAAGAAGCCATTCTCTGTGCTGGGGAGAAGCAGTGATAGGTACAGCAGGTTGGCCGGCAAGTCTACCTGGTAGCAAGCTGTGCCACGGCCAGCTTCCTGCTGTGACTGACTACGGTGCTAGAAGGCATTTCTTTCCCAAGAATCATCGACTTTCCTAGGCATCTGCAGATGACTTGCACACACAACCCTCCTCCCCCCTTCCTGTAGCAGCCTGGATTAGCTGCCATGGCAGCATGTTCAAGTGGTTCTATGCAAAGGCTGAATGCAAACACACTATTCAGATTGGTAAACAATCACCTGGCAGGTCCCTGTTATGATTACATGGCATGATCTGGTCGTGATCAGGCCCTCCCCACCCTAGCTACACATCTTGCCAGGCACCTCCCCCTTCTTCTGGCCTTGGCTTGAGTCATGGGCTTGTTGAGGCACAAGTTAGCATCCTTCCCCCTGGGAATTTTCTACATATGGTTCTGGTCACATTCTGGTTGCTTCACCTCCTCATTGCTATCTCACTAATAAAACAGGGTATGGCTCTGCAAAGCAGCAGGTAACTCTAGGAAGGGGAGGTGGGTTTCCTGGCTACCCACAAGGACAGTATGACATGTTAGCAACTGCTGCTTTTTTGATGTGTAAGCAATCTCAGACAAAGGGAGAATAGTAGGATTATATGCCAGGTTTGAGTAAGGGCCATGTCTGACTCAGTTTTGTTCTAGCTCCTCATGCCACCAGGTCCTTGGCAAAGCACTCCATTAGTATGGATCACAAATGTGTATCCTCTGAGAATAAGGAAGTTTTGGAAGGTAATGGTGTTGGTAACACCCTGTGTGGACACTGACAGACTTGCTAGGTAGGACCATATGATCTAGCCCAAGGACAGGATTATCTGCAGGACAGGTAAGTAACTTGATGTTAAAAAATGTTTCTCTGGGCTGTCAGGAAGAGAGTGCCACACTATGTGTGGCAAAGAGGACAGAATACCTGGACAGAAGAAGGCGAGCATGATTATTATAACTGGCCATGGCACCTGAGCCGCTTGAAAGTGAGAGAACACAGAAGCACCCTTTGCAGGCACCCTGTATTGGCTTGTTAACTTGGCTGTAGGTGACTGGTAAAATGTGACAGCAGGTTCCTCAGTTTTTCTGCAAAGAGGAATGTTTAACACTAGATTTGCATTGTGCACACATATGCTTCATCCATGTCCAGGCATGCAATAGCTAACAAAGACTTCTGGCCATGTCAGGTCTGAAGTGCTGTGTGGTTGGTGCTAGCTTTTCTTATTCATGCCTGGCACTCTACTTGGACTATACCTGAAGGTTGGTCTACAGAGAGAAGCAGGCTTGCTCTTCTCTTGTGCATAGGTATGGGTCAGGTGAGGCATGCTAGATCCACCCCAGTTTGCTTACCCATCTGATGTAGATGGAGGATGGCCCTAAAGCGGTCTGGCTGTCCTTCAGTTTCAGAATGGAGTCTGAAGGACAGCAAAAAAAGATAACCAGATTATTTAGAGCACACTGTGATGATCACAGGAGTTACCCAAGGCAGGGGAGTTTACTGGACTTTGCACAGTAGAAAAGCTTCTGGCTGTAGGTCACCTGTGGGATAGTTCACAGTGCTCCTTCCAAAACTTTTCCAAGACCAGGACACTGGACTGGATCTGGCAAATGATGTTTGCATCTGTGTGCTGTTAAAAGAGATAGAGTGGGTACAGCCAGAGTAATCAGTTTAATTAAATGCTTTGTATCTATAATTTGTCTGATTTTAGAGCATATTAATTGAAATTAAGCTTCTAATATATTATTACAGGAACATACTCTGTTTCCTTTATGTCCGTTATAGCTGTGATTAATATATTCAAAAGTATACATTACACTGCCACAATAATGAACAGAGCTAAATGAGTATAAATATCTGCAGTAAAATACAGTGAAGTCCTGCAGTGCTGTGGTAATGTTAGTCATTTTTGCATGAATAAATTAAGGTAGAGTGTGAAATTCTGTAACTGCTATGAACCAAAGTCTCCAGCCGGCATGGAGCTTCAAGTCTTTGTGGAACTAGTCTGTTGTAAATATTTATTGCTACTAATTTAATACTTAGTCACAGAATAAAACTTTTTATTCTTCTGGGTGATTCCTTATCTCCACTGTGTTCCATTTCCTTTTTTTTTTTTTTCTGGAAATGAAAGTTTGAGATTTGATTTTGATGGGGTCAGTTTTAGATGTAAAAATTAACATAGAAGCAGTTTTTCTAATCTCTTGCAACAACAGATTCAGCGCTTGTGTCTGCTTGCTGACAAGCCTTTGCTGAAATTTATGGGCCAGATTCACTGACTTTTTAAGACCAGAGAAAAGTACCGTTTGGTCTCAGCTCCTTCATAGCACAGACCATAACTGCAACTAAATTAGAACATATTTTAAAGAACAGTAAAATTTTGCTTGCGTAGAAAATTCCACATGCTTTGGTAAGCTATTAAAAAGATCAAATATTGTTAAATCTCTGCACCTTGTTTCACTTCCCAGTTACGTAGTTTGATCATTTTTATCCACTGTGTCTCTTAAGCTGAGGAAGTGGTGGAGTTTTTCCTTCAATATATACAGGGTAATAATCCATCCAGAACTCCATGAATGTGTCAGTAAGTCTGCATAAAATATGGGTGGAAGCTCATTTTGGGAAAATATAGGTTGGCTTTTATTTTCAAAGAGACAAAAAAAGTACAAATGTTTTGGGTTAATTACTAGTATCTTTTATATAAAGAAAATGAATTTATTTCTTCAACCAGTTAAATAAACTCTTCTAAGGTGTTTTCATGTAAACCATTTTTCAATTACTCATTAGAAGTGCTACAGAAAAGGCTTAAACCTTCATTTTGAAAATGCCTTAATGAAATAATTGAACCAATTCTGAAAGACATTTAGCAAATGTTGAAATGAAATATTCTTATAACTTAAAAATTCTCCGCATTCTTACTGATCTTCTTTCTTTTCAGATACATTTGCCACATTGTACTAATATTTGTAATTTTCTTGGTTCTTCTGAACTACTACTTCACATCAAATGAATTGATTACTGAAATAAAAAAGTCAGTAACCTATAGTCGTTATTTTCTTGACTACTAGGCTAAAGAGTCCAGTATTTAGATAGCAAAGCCAAATGCTCGAGAGCATAAACAGGTCAGCTGTTACTATGTTTCTGATGTACACTGGAGAAGTAAAAAGGAAAGGGTGAAACAGGATTTCCAGACTTCTGCCCAAGCTTGCAACTCTTTCCAAAGTCATTATGATTTAAAATGCAAATTCTGAAAGGGTATACAGATTTTCTAGTACTTTCATTAGCAAACATGAGTTTCAAAGTATTAGCAGTGGTATTATAGTGAATGATATTTGTAAAATCGGAAAACCATTTAATTTGGAAAGGATCTCTAGACCTTGTCTGAAACAACGTCCTGCTCAAAGCAGGGCTTGCTAGAGTGGGTAACTACAGGTAATCCCCTATTCCTGTGCAAAGATTACCTTAAACCATCACACTGGAACTTGTATTCAGATGTTATCTGCCATGAACCTTGATCCTTTTTCTGAGTCACCTCTTGCCAGGTAAGCAAGTGCCACTAAAAAAAACAATGGTTTAGCTTTGTTGACCTTTCATGTGCATTCTCCAGTCTTCCCAACAGATCCCCAATACATATTAAAATGCCATAAACTCCAATGCATTACTAAATGTACTATTAGGAATTCCTTTGACATGAAGGAATCCTGCTGTGTGCCAAAGGCAACTTTGTTTCTCCCCTTGCTGTCCCTGCCACAGGGACTTCTCAAGATTATTTTTGGGAATGAAACGAGGAGTGTCATTTACTCCATGATCAGTGGCGGTTTGCAAGATCTGTAATTTTGCTGCTTTTACTGAAGACTTCTAGCTTGTTCTGGGGCTTGCTTTGACCTCAGGTAGCTTCTGGAAGAAGGGGAAGCAACTGGTTGCTGCCTTCCAGGGGGTGCCTGGAACAAGGACAGAAAGTTTCTTTAACTGAGTCATTTGTACACCTTTAGATCCCCTTTAATCCAGACTTAGTAGACTGAAGAATTCAAGCTGGCAAATACTGCTGTGACAGTAGGTCATGGAGAGAGCCCTGCTGTCAGGCTATGGGGGCTGCAAGGAAAAATTGTTTGAACTTAAAAATATACAGTTGCCAGCATCTCAGGTGAAGTGTTCTCAAAACCAGCTACTGAGCATTTTGCACTGCTGGGAGGATGTAAGACTTCTTGGATAGAAACCATAAGTAGGTGCAAAAAGGTCACATTTCTACTCGTGTCTGAAAAGTCCTCTTATGAAAGGAATCTACACATTCTTCTAGGGATCCAGAGACAGTAGGAAGTGTTTCTTACTATTTATCTTGCCAGTTATGAGGGGGGAGATATAAATTCCTGGGCTAACCACTTTTTTGACATATAGAAGAACATTGTCCTATTTAGAGTTCAAATAAGGTTTTAGTTAAGTGTTTTGCTCATTTCTGTTAGTGTACTTCTGTGCTGCCGTCTTCAGCAGGTTATGCTTGAGCCAGATTTTTTTCCTTTTCTTCTTTTTTAAGACTTTCACTGTTTCTATTTTTTAAAATAAAGTTGTGAAAACTATGTCAATGTCAAATACTGGGTAAAAACTGCTAGAGGTGACGGGATCAGAATGTGGTTTTACAGGCTTGTATAATTTTTGAAAGTGATTAAAAAACAAGAATAGAAATTCCTTACGTGATAAGTTAATACTTTAAAAAAGTAGGTTTTCTCTGTTCAGCATAGATCCTTGAAGGTCTTAAGCAATCCCACCAGAAACCTGGTTTTATTAGCATTGTAAAAGAAATACTTGTGGACAAGATTATTAAAAATTTGTTTGGAGAACTTTGGAACATTGCTTTACTTTACTCATCCACAGTATCGTCCTACCTTTTAAAAGGAGAATTTTGCCAAAATTGGCTGAATTTTATGATAACAATGGTCTCATGTGGTCAGCTGCAAGCTGATGGCTATTGGTACTTTTAAAATACTTCACATGTAGCACTAAGTCATTACTCCTCTGTAATACGTAGACCTATCTAGGAATTTGTTAATAGTCCTGGTCTTAAACCCTGGATTTGACAATCAGAGTCTTTTGGTCTCTGTTATGACAAATGAAACTACCATTTTCGTTTTCAGCAAAGTGGGATTTTATTTACAGCAATAGTAGGTTCTCTCACATTACATTACTTTGTGCTGACTTTCCCTAGTACTAACTTCTGCACTATCTGCTGACTCTGCCAACATATTAAAGGGCAATAGCAGCAAGCACTCACAGGGCCCTCAGTGTACATGGAGAGACCGAGGAAATCTTTACAGTTGAGTAGTTCTTCAGGATTGTATTTCTGCTAGCTGGTCCATCGATTTATTTTCAAAATGTACCATATAAGAAAAACTTACTGTTTTAAAAGTGTATTGAAAGTGACATCAGCTCACTTAAAAATATTAATTGTGGGGAGAAGCAAGAGATTCTGAGCAGCTGAACAACCTTACTTCAAAATCCCCATAATTACATTTTCAGCAATAGGAAATATTCCTATAGATGAATACTTTGTCCTGTCTCTGAGTAATTTTCAGTGTTGTTTGTGTCACATATCAGAAAGGCTTATTCATCAGAATTATGCGCCATTTAAAATGCTGAGGAAGCACTACTGAGTTTTTGCAGCACTTCCCAGCCAGGCTGCATTTAGATCTGGGTTTATCCCTTTTAAAGCCAGGCCTGGACCTAATTCTTTAGCCTCAGGAAGTATGTATTGGAGGACTTAAATTAGAAAACAAGAAAGAGATTTAAGGGCTTATGTTTCAAA